TGGGTACACAACTGATTGAAAGACATTACTCAGAGCATGCAATAATTCCCAGTGTTCCTCGGAGGAGTACCTTGTGGGTCTGTCTTGGGTCTGATACTAATAAATATTTTCATTAGTTACTTGGATGTAGAGAGTATGCTTATAAGATTTGTAGATGACAAAACACTTCAGAAGACAGGATCAGAATTTGAGTGATCTTAATAATTTGGAGAATTGGTCTGAAATCAATAAGATGAAATTCAATGAAGACAAGTGCAAAGTACTACACTCAAGATGGAAAAATCAAATGCACAAATACAACATGGGGAATACCTGGCTAAGCAGCAGTACTGCAGAAAGGATTTGTAGGTTATAGTGGCTCACAAATTGAATGTTAGTCAACAATGTGCTGCTGCAGCAAAAAGGCAAACGTCATTCTGGGATGTATTAGCAGGAATGTTGCAAGCAAGACATAAGAAGTAATACTTCCCCTCTACTCAGCACAGATAAGGCCTCAACGGGAGTATTGTGTCCAGTTCTGGGTACAACGCTTCAGGAAAGATGTGGACGAATTGGAGAAAGTCCAGAGGACAGCAACAAAAATGATAAAAGGTTTGGAAAACATGACTGACGAAGAAAGATTGAAAGAGTTGGATATGTTTAGTCTAGAGAAGAGAAGCTTGAGTGGGATACATATTTGCAAAATTGAACTCCAAAATTGCAAAATTGAACTCCATGGAACTAGTTGTGAGTAAGGTTCATTGTGCATAAGTGTTTGCCAGGATGGATGCTTATATACTTTGGGGAAGAGGAGCATACAAAATTAGGTCCTTATCTTGCAAACACTTATTCATAGATTATGACTGCATATGATTAACCTTTGAACTCAGTAAGACTATTCCATGCGTAAGGATAAACATCAAAATGTTTGCAAGATCAGAGTCTGAGAGATCATTCACACATATTTTATTAAATATAGTATACAGATGGGAGAAGCATGGGAAGAATATATGTATAAAATGCAAACCCTAAAGGGGTCAGACATACCCACTGAATGATTTAATGATGTTGCTTTTTTATTACTTTTTTACCATTTTTATTTGCTTATTAATAGCTCTCTTATGCTGTTTTATCATCTTTTAACTGCAGTGTCTTAAGTGCCTCAGCAGAGGGCACTTTAAAAAAGAGTTGTTTTTATTTATCAATTAAATACCTACTCAAATGATTCATGTGACCTGACCAAGCAGGTTGCTTATTTGTAATGTTTTAGGTTTTGCGGGTGTGGGGGGTAGGAGATGAATACGGCGAAGGAGTTGTTATTTTTTTTATATTTCCTCTGTTGAGTTTGTGTTTCTTATGAAGATAACCAAAGAAAGTTTTCAACAAAGTATTATTTTTTAAAAGTAACAATTGAATGCTTTCACACCTCCCATCCTTCTCCTCTCTTAAATTTGTGCAACTTCCCCTGGAGGCATGAAAATGCCACTGATTGTTAGTGTGACTATCCGTAATGTCTACATACAAAGGAAAAAGGAAATCAGAGGGTTGTAAAATTAGCTTAGTTCCCTTTCTGAAGCTGCAATGGCACCAAAATGAAATTTTAAAAAGTGTATGGTTTTAAGTTTCACATGCTCTTCTAAGTATATTTCTTTACTACTCTATTTCCACTGATTTTACTGCTTCACTAGGGCTTTCGAGCAATTAAAAAAATTAATCTTGATTAATCACATTGTTAAACAAGGGAATACAATTTATTTAAATATTTTTGGATGTTTTCTACATTTTCAAATATATTGATTTCATTTGCAACACAGAATACAAAGTATATAATGCTCACTTTATATTTATTTTTGATTACAAATATTTTCACTATAAAATACAAAAGAAATAGTATTTTTCAATTCACCTCATACAAGTACTGTAGTGCAATCTCTTTATCATGGAAATTGAACTTACAAGTATAGAATTATGTACAAAAAATAATTTCACTGAAAAATAAAACAAAGTAAAACTTTAGAGCCTACAAGTCCACTCAGTCCTACTTCCGCCAGTAGCTCAGACAACCAAGGCCTTGTCTACCCTGCCACTTTACACTGCTGCAACTTTCTTGCTCACGGGTGTGAAAAAACGCCCCCCTGAGCGCTGCGAGTTTCAGCATTGTGAAGAGGCAGTGTAGATAGTGCACCAGTGCAGGGAGCTACTCCCCTTGCGGGGGTGTGTTTTTTACAGCGCTGGGAGAGTTCTCCGAGGGCCGGTGCCGCGACTACAGAGCCACGCTAATGTGCTTCTGCGGCAGCGCTTTAACATTGCTAGTGAAGACATGCCTCGAATCTGGTTACAATTTACAGGAGATAATGCTGCCCGTTTCTTGTTTACAATGTCACCTGAAAGTGAAAACAGGTGTTCGTATGGCACTGTTGTAGCCAGCGTGGCAAGATATTTATATGCCTGATCCACTAAAGATTCATATGTCCCTTCATCTTCAACCACCATTACATAGGACATGCGTCCATGCTGATGATGGGTGCTGCTCGATAACGATCCAAAGCAGAGCAGACCAATGCTTGTTCATTTTTATCATCTGAGTCAGATGCCACCAGCAAAAGGTTGATTCTCTTTTTTGGTGGTTCGGGTTCTATAGTTTCCGCATCTGTGTGTTGCTCTTTTAAGACTTCTGAAAGCATGCTCCACACCTTATCCCTCTCAGATTTTGGAAGGCATTTCTGATTCTTAAACCTTGGGTCAAGTGCTGTAGCTATTTTTAGAAATCTCACATTGGTATCTTCTTTGTGTTTTGTCAAATCTGCTATGAAAGTGTTCTTAAAATGAACATGTGCTGAGCCATCATCCCAGACTGCTATAACATTAAATTTATGGCAGAATGTGCGTATAACAGAGCCAAAGGCATACAGTTCTCCCCCAAGGAGTTCAGTCACTAATTTAATTAATGCACTGTTTTTTAACGAGCATCGAATGGTGGCCGAAGCATGACGGGGCATGCAAATGTTTAGCATATCTGTAAATACCTTGCAACGCTGGGTACAAAAGTGACATGTGAACGCCTGTTCTCACTTTCAGGTGACATTGTAAATAAGAAGCGGGCAGCATCATCTCATGTAAATGTAAACAAACTTGTTTGTCTTAGCGATTGGCTGAACAAGAAGTTGGGCTGAGTGGACTTGTAGGCTCTAAAATTTTACATTGTTTTGTTTTTGAGAGCAGTTATGTAACAAAGAAAATCTGCATTTGTAAGTTACACTTTCTGGATAAAGAGATTGCACTACAGTATTTGTATGAGGTTAATTGAAAAATACTATTTCTTTTGTGTATCATTTTTACAGTGAAAATATTTGTAATAAAATAATACAAAGTGAGAACTGTACACTTTGAATTCTGTGTTGTAATAGAAATCAGTATATTTGAAAAAGTAGAAAACCATTCAAAATGTTTAATACATTTCAATTAGTATTCTATTGTTTAACAGTGCAATTAATTGTGATTAATTTTTTTAGTTGCTATTAATTTTTTTGAGTTAATTGCGTGAGTTAACTGCTATTAATTGACAGCCCTACTTCCTACTGTTACTGATAAGGACTAGTAAAATACTTATTTTCTGAAGTTCATGGGCTAAATTCTGCTCTGTTAACTTTATGTAAGTCAGGAGTAAATATACTGACTTTCTGGAGTTAATTGGGATTTATATCAATGTAAATTAGAGCAAAATTTGACACTTTTCTATATTTATATAAAACAAGAGTGTCCAATTATACTGTCCACTCTATATTTCTCTGTCTTTTTCTTGCATTAGTGTAATGGGTGAAACATCACCAAATCCCTCAGACAGAGGGTTTTCTAGCAGTTGGACTGTTAGAGCAACTGGAAAATGAATCTTCCTATTGGCACAAATGCATCTTACAGGCTATCAGGTAATTATTGGAATCTGGAATTAAGCACTGTAGTGTATGTGCTAAGGGTCCAAACTTTCTTCCATTAAAGTTATTGGCAAAACTTCCATTTACTTCAATGAGAGCAGGATGAGATTGACATGAGAATCCTTTCTTGCCTAAAGATATAGGGCACAAAAAAGTCTCTGCCCTCCCTTTTTATTCTGAGCAGCAAAGGCAAATTTAATGATAAAATATTACACTGCTTTGTCTATCATACATATACCAATACTGTGCCACTCAGCAATTTGCACACAGTAACTGATTCTCTGCAGATATATCACTGGTAATGAAGGAGTGATAATTGCTTGCTTACTGTGAGATTGTTGAGGGGAAAAAGGGGTTTGGAAATGCCTGTCGTGTAAAATACCACTAGATGGCACCTTGAAATACAGATCATATAGTCTATGGGTTGAACAGTTTTCTTCAGCTGTAGATGTTGCCTGTCTTCTAGTCAGCATTTTGATCCTTGGCATCTCATTGGCACTTTCCAAATTGCTGCCTTAGGGCCAGATCCTGCTTCCTTTGATTTCTATGGGATCATGATTAGGCCCTAAGGCCTTCTGTACACTGGGGACATTTTTCAGAATATTCAAACCAGTTTTAAAACCAGTTGGAACACTAGGATAGACAAGACTATAGACCAGTTTTAAAAATGGGTCCATCAGCCTGTGCTTTGTCCATACTCTGGTGCTCCAAACAATTTTAAAACTGTTTTGAATTTTTTGGTAAATTTCCTTGATGCAGACAAGACCTAAGAGTGCAGGGAACAGTAAATGAAAAAAATGTTTAGCAGCTTCTGCTGTTCACATGTACTTTTGGAGTAAGTTCCTGATCACTCACCTTTTCAAAAAAAGAGAGCAGCGATTGCTGTGCTGTAATTATGTATGCTGTGTATTTGCTAAATATACTAGTGGTTTGGAGACTTTTATTTTTATAGGTATTCTTTTCTGCATGTAATCAATAAAATACTTTTAACTTACAAGAACATTTCTCTGTGCTTCTCAAGGACCTAGCTATGTGCACTTAATTGTTGCAGACAGCAAAACAGACACTTGCAATATAGACTGCAGGATATATACAAATATATCTTTAATTATTAATGGTAGTACTGATTAATTTAATCAATTAGCAGTGGACAGCTTTGAACTGTATGTCTCAGGGGACTCCATTAGACAAGCAAGGACTGTAGAGGTCCATGGTCCCATGCCATTTGAGCTGTTACGATAAAGCACTTGCTGAACTTTACTCAACAATTCCCTCCCACCCCTTTTTCGTAAGTAGAACAGGGTCTGAAGCATTTATTCAGCTGTTCTTGAACACTTAGAAATGCTGAAAATACATCTAGAAAAATACATAGCATACTGAATAAAATGAACTTAATTTAACAGGAATTTTAAAAATGATTTTTAAAAAGAAAGAGCAGCAAGGATCAATTCCCTCTGTGGGTCCTGCAGAAGAAGAAAAGGAAAAATTACAAAACATTTTTACAGTATAAAGTACTACAGCTAACACAGATGAATTAGGGAATGAATGGGGAATTGCCTCCTGTTATTTCTGTTCCATTACATTGTGTTTTCTTATCTTTCTGTCTTTAGATTGTGAGCTTCTTGGAGTAGGGACTGATGCTTCTTGAATGTTTGGAAAGTGCCTAGCACATTGTAGATGCTACCATAAACAAATAATGAAATATAGGGTTTTACAATACCCAGTATTACTAGTCTGTACAGTATTTTTTAGGAATATCAAGGGTTTGACTTTCCACTGTGCCCAAGCTGTATGTGGTCACAGTCAAGAGAGTGTGCTGTCAGGGAGCTGATTGTGACTCCCTGATTCATAGCTGTCTGCCTCTGGCACAAATTAAAGTTGCAGAAAAGCAGCTGTACCTTATGCAAGGACTACACCAGTGGAAAGCAATTTTTTTTAAAAAAAGCTGTAAAATGTCCTTTTAAGCTAACACTCCCCCTCCCCAAATGAAGGGAAAGAAGGAGGAACAAGAAGTACAATAGTGAATATAATTACACCACTATACAGAACCAACTTCTGGTTACTGTACAATGGTAACTAGTATATGTCTCTGTCTCTCACCCCTTTGTTACACATAGCTTGATTCAGTAACATATATGTACAAATTTATACCAGTAAAAATGCATATTAAGTAAAGATCCAGTATCGTCTCATCCAGTGGAAATTGGGACATACTGGAAGGAGAAAAACGTTTCCTCCTCTATTTCTTGTGTTAATGTAATCCTGGCTCTAAGTTATAATGAGAGTTCACCTTTCAGCTGGTACACGATTGGAACGATCATCTTTGAGGATTTAGTTGTACCTACCACTCACTGGAGCATGACATTTATTTAATAACAGGATTCATTTTATCATCCCGTATTACTCCTTTGAGTATTCACACCCAGAAAGGATTTTATTTGTTGTGTACAAAGAATGGCGGAAACAACTTACAAAATGGCCATAATTTTTCTTAAGAGGCTGCATGGAAACATTTTGTCCCCAGAAGAAGGATGGGATCAGAACTGAATCGTAGAGATCCTCACTGGAAGAATCCCTTTAATCTAATGTAATGGTTTTCTTGCAAGCCCAGAGTCCGCTGGAAGTTGCTTTCAGTACAAGCGAGAGTGACACCAACTGAGAAGAGTCAGCCTCCTTCAGAGTCTGCAAAGATTCGTTTCTTCCAGTTGTGCAAGAGGAAGCCGAAATATTAGCAAACAAAGTTTCCAAACAGCATGGGAGACAGACGCTTTGCTCTCTCTCCGGTTACCGTGGGGGAACTAGTCCATCCTTAGTGCCTATTTAAATTCCCATCTTCCTGCGTGAACCCCTCTGGACCAGTCAAACATATCGAAGCAGGTTTCTAACAAGGCGAAAAGCTATATTCAGAATGAGGGCTGAATTTCCAGCCGCCTATCAAGGGACCATTATAGTCCAATTATAAAATTGGAGCCGGGCAGGATCCTTACCAGAATTACCAAACGGGAGGGCTTGATGGGGAAGGATGCCCAGGCAGCTCCGGGTATTTTGATTTTCAGCGCACCGGGAGCCCCGGAATTGGGCAGGCTGGTCTCTAGAGGGTAAGTCAGTAGCTGAGCCCTCCCACTTGGCCAATTTCAGTGAGGAAGGTGAAATGCGGAAGTTTCCACCCAGAACTGTCAGATGAAACTCTCTCTTTAGCCCTTGGTATGGTACACATCATAAACGCCCTGGGTGGAAATTACCAGCCTCTCCCCTCCTAGGGATCTTAAAATCCGAGGGACGCTGTCAAGCATGGCCACTTTACCCGCAGCTGACAGAAGGGCATTTGCCCTGAAAATCAACAGGTAAGAGACTTTTCGTGACCTCTAAACTTTCCGTGGCGGGGGTGGGGAAGGCAGCAGCTCTGCATGCGAGAAGATGAATGATTCGGGTGTGGGTTCCCTGTCCCACCGAGACCTCGGGCGTGGAGCCATCTGCACGCCCCTGATAGCTAAGGAGCTCTGCCAAAGTTTCCCTCCTAAGGAGGGAGGCTCCGGCTCGGTGGGTTAAGTTTAAAGCATGTCTCTCGCATCGTGAATTTTGCTTTATAAGATAATGGACACCTCACATTTTAAAGTCTCGTTCTTGTTCACTCTTGGCACAGCAGTATCCTTGGCTAGACTCAACTTGTTTTGTTTTGTTTTGTCTCCTGAAGAAGCTCGCTCTAGAAATCCCCTCCCTGGAAAAACTGATCATTTGTGTGTGTGTTGGTTCTTTATTCACTCGGCATACTGGGTTTATTTTTCTGACAGGTAGGACGTGTCAGATGCCTCACGTGGTTTGCTACTAAGGTTTAATTCCTTTGTCAGGACAAGCCCTGCGTCCGCTTGAAAACTCTGCTCCTCACATAGTGGGGTGAGGTTTTATATGTATGAGATCCCCTCTTTAGATGGAAGAGCCTAAATAGTTTTATGACTGTGATGATACTTTTGCAACACAAGGTTTTTCTTTATATGCAGTTAGTATTAAGATGACACCTAGCATTTTTCTCACATGCTGCCTTTTTATATTATGAATCACCAGAGGATTTAAAATGAAAAATGTGATTCTAATTTTTACCCTGTCAAGACTAACCTTAAACTCCACTATGCCATCCTTTTACTGCTAATCTTTCATTCTCATAGAGTTTAAACTGTGGCCTTTTCTCAGAGGCAAGTACTGATTGTTCAGCTGGTGTGTGTGTTATGGTAGCATTGAGAAATCAAGACATTTATTTTGGTGTTGTTAGGCTAAGAGAAAATACAGGGCGTCTTTTGTACAGCCTAATTATCTCGCTTCAAAAGCCTCAGTTCCAGGTAGTTGGTTTTAAAAACAAATTAACTGAGTTTGCCAATATGTCTAAGAACAAACAGGATAATGATTTTATTACTGACAGTGAGCAAGACCATCTCTGTGCCAGAGCGCCCCCCCCACCCCAAAATGCATAGAACCCCACTTCCTCAGCAATTTGTCGAAAGAGATGGCGTTTACAGTTATTAAGGAAAACGATTATATTATCATACATATACGTCTTTCCCATGATAATTGTCCCATCACAAATTGCACATCATTTTACCTTTCCAAACCCTTCAAGAGTTCATTTCAAGTTGCTGGAAGAATATATTCTTTACAACCGTGTGGGATTATATTGAAAGATTTTCCAAAGGATGACTTAATCCAACACTCTTTTCTTTGGCAAATTTTCCATTGACTTCAGCAGGACCTTTGTTTGAGTAAGGAGTGAAGGACTGGGTCGTATTACAGTTTCTCTACCTTTAGGGCCAGATTCATCAGTCACTCTGGCTGCTTTTTGCTGCTCTTATACTGTTTACAGTTACTTTGTATTGCCAAAGCTGCTGAAGCATACCAGTGAAATTGGCCTTATGCATTATCTATCCAAGCCTCATTTAAGATTGGCTAAAGAGAAAAATTGTGAAATTAGACCAATAGTTTTGTTTTCCTTTTAAATTTGTCTTATAGTTTGCAGTGTCAATGCTGAATGTTTGTGTAGTGAAACAAACAAAGATTGAAATCCATCATGTTCTGAATCTATGATCATAATTTAACAATAATTAGATTTAGTTTACAAGCATTATTCAGGAATGGTTCTGTTCTATAGAGCTGACATATGTGAAAAGTGACGAGAATGGTAAAAGTTGTGTATATTTACTAGCAGAAATTATGTTCTAGTCCCCTCTTCAAGTGTGACAGATTACTACTATATGGACCAAATCCTATTTGCCGTGTTATGTGAATTATTCCATTGACAGTAGCACTTGGCTCTTGGTCTTCAACAAAAGCAAACTTCATGCACAGCAGCAATGTTCACTTTTTTTTTTCAAGAGACACTGTCAAGATAAGTAACTGTAAATCAATGGGCTAATTCGTCAGGCCATGCAGCATAGAACACGCTCCAGCCGTGGAATTCAATCTCCTTTCTTCAGGGTTTTGGTTTTATTCCTTCAAAATGAAACATTTAAACACAAATTCAATTTACCAGTCGTCTCCTTTCCCCTGAGGGGGCTTCTGGAAGGGCCTATCTGCTCCCTATTGGATTACTCTCTACAGGCCTCCTGTCTGGGAGTTAGGCAAGCCTCTCCTCTCCCTTCTTATTCCTAGCCTGCTCCCTGCAGCATTCTACAGGACATCTGCCTGAGAATCCTATATAACCTGGGTTCTTTCCTTTGCCCCAGGGTCTCCTGTAGGAGCCTACCTATTTCCTGCTTCTGAACTGAACTACTTGCTGGTACTTCTTAATTATTTATTTTATTATTATTATTTATTTGTATCACTGTAGCACCTAGCAGCAGTGCTTAAAGTGTGCCTGCTTGCAACAGCTCTCAGACGGGTGAAATAAAATTTATATTAAGCCCCCTCTGATTGGCTGTTTTCCCCACCTCCTGGCCTAGAGCAGCCAGTCTCCCCTCTGGAGGCAACACCATTCTCGCAGGAGGGACATGCCAGAAGAAAAAGCCCAGCAGCTCAGAATGGCTCCACTCTCTCCTCTCCTCTGCCCTTGCCTCCCCTTTCGTCCCCTCTTATGAGCAATAGGATGGCAGTTCTACTCCTCCCGCCTCTTCTTTCCCTCCCTGCAACACCAGCCTTGGGAAGAGAAAGAGGGGACCCTACTACAGCCCCCCAGGCCTGGGAGAGGGGACTGGAGAACCCCAAGAGCTCAGGAGGAGCAGAGGTGAGGCTGAGGGGGAAGAATTGATGGGGCTGAGGTTGCAGGAGAGAGGTTTGGTGGAGGGCAGGAGGACAGCCAGAAGTGATGTCACTTTCATTTCTGTAGAAAGTGATTGACACCCCAGCTGCCACCATTATGTAAGCACTGTCTAGGGGCCCTAGTTAAGAACCAGGACCCAATTCTGCTAGATGCTGTACAAACAGAACAAAAAGATGATCCTTGTCCCCAAAGAGTTTGATCCCAGCATCAGCTGTCCCCCAGATGATCAGTCACAAGTGGAGGTACACCCAGTGGCCTTTTGTTTAAAGGGCCAGCCACCTTCTTACTGTCATGTAAAAAGTATTCTTTACCTATAAATATCACCTTTGATCACTAAAACTGAAAGTGTACTAACATTTCATTTCACTTTACACTATTTATATTGTTTGTTAAATATTTCCTTCACTCAGCTTTTAATGTTTGCACTTGTCTCACTTTTTACAGTGAAGATAGAGGTGTCTATTTTATAGTCAATTTCACTTGTTGGTTTTCATGCACTAGGACAGTGCAAGTCATTTGGGTTGCAAACAGTGCAGGGGAACAGTTATCATGTTACAAGCAATGTTAATTTAAAACATGTCTCATTTTTATTCATTTCTTAAAATACCTTCAAACTTGCAAGCTTTGCATGTAGTCTGTATACATAAGCATGCCTTCCTGTCACTGTTACCCTAATCTTCCCTCCCCCACTCCTTTTGTTTGCTTGTTACCAGTCAGTTGCATCCTGTGCGGTCTGATCCTCCAGCCACTTAAGCAAGTGTTTAACTATACTACTCACATGCATAAAATTGCTCATGGCACATGTATGTTGCAGAACCAGGGCCTTTGATTATAACTTTTCAGGCCAGGGACTGTCTCTTACTATGTGTTGGTTCACACATAGCCAATACGACCCAGTCCTGCAATCACACCTTAATTTGCAGGGTAGGCATATCCAACCTCACCTAATCCAATTCAAATAAGGTGATCCAGTGACCTTCCCAGTTATACCAAGCTAACATCAAATAGCTGGGTTGACCAGGTACATCTTACATTACCTTCTAAAGTGTATCAAGCTTAAATAAAAGGGCAAAGATCTTTCTCTAAGAATGCCCTCAGTGAGTTAGTTCAAACTAATCAGAAGTTAGGGACATACTTCAAGAGCATGACAGCCTATCACGACTGCAGAGATGGAGCATACAGGGTAAGATGGTCTCAGAGACAGAACAGAATGCATCCAGTGTGCCTTAATAGTTGTGCCCTATTTATGGGTTCCTGGCATGGACATTTTGCACTGGATTGCGTAAAACCATTTATTATATTGATAAACACAAGATATTAATTATCTGCAAGTCAAAAAGATATACATGTGTATTATTTCAGAACTTCTGATGCTTAGGCCAAGCTATTTCTTTTAATGAATTTGTATTTTTGTAATGAGAATGTAGTTAACAAAATTACAAAAAGATTCTTTGTATTTGGGAAGTGTACTAAAAATGTATCCTGATCACATTTTATATTAAGGATACCTTAATATATGTGTTTTAAAGAACTAAAAATTATTGATAGATGTTTTAATAAATTGTTAGGTCAATAGGCTGGTTATATCCATGGCTTATAATCAAATTAATACCATCTACTGATGTTCTTATAGCCATCTATAACACATACTTCTCATGTATGTAGCATGCTTATAACATCAATTAATCTTTTATTAATCCTTTATGAACATAAATGCACCCTTAATATAAAGGGTGACGATTTAGCCGTTCTCTCAATTACTTATACTGGCATGGCAGTGATAGGATAAATTACCTTTTTTACAGTTTATCAAATCTATCTAATAAATTAGTTGCACGAACAAGTAAGAGCCGA